TTGACATATTTCAGCTAGCTGTTGCTGCCCTGGACGTGCTCACCAAGTTGTGCCAAGAAATCTGGAGAACAACCACTTGGCCAACTGACTGGAAGAAATCTATATTTATTCCCATCCCAAAGAAGGGTGACCCAACAGAGTGTGGAAACTATAGAACAATATCATTGATTTCACATGCAAGCAAGATTATACTGAAGTTTATCCAAAAATGACTGGAACAGCACATCAGCAGAGAACTGCCAGAAGTCCCGGCTGGGTTTAGAAGGGGTCGTGGTACTAGGGATATTGTAGCTGATGTTAGATCGATCTTAGCTGAATGCAGGGAATACCAGAAGAATGTCTATCTGTGTTTCATTGACTATGCAAAGGTGTTTGACTGTGTGAATCATAACAAACTGTGGCTGACTTTGAGAAGAATAGGAATCCCAGAACACTTGATCGTGCTAACGAGAAACCTATACTTGGACCAAGAGGCAGTAGTCAGAACAGAGCAGGGTAACACTGCATGGTTCAAAATAGGGAAGGGTGTACGCCCGGAATTTGTCCTATCTCCATACCTTTTCAACCTGTGTGCAGAACAGATTATCTGAGAGGCTGGGCTGTATGAGGAGAAGTGTGGCATCAGGATTGGTGGAAGATCTATTAACAATCTGTGTTATGCAGATGACACAACCCTGCTTGCTGAAATTGAGGAGGACCTGAAATGCTTGCTGCAGAGGGTCAAGGACTGCAGCCTCCAATATGGATTGAGGTTCAGTGTTGAGAAGACAATTCCACGGTCAACACACTTGGTACCAGTAGCCAGGAAATAAAAAACGTATCGCGATGGGAAAGTCTGCTGTTAGGGGCCTCACCAGGGTACTGGAGAGCAATGGTGTAACTCTGGAGACTAAGGTGCATCTGATAGAGGCTATGGTCTTCGCAATCACTTGTTATGCATCAGAGAGTTGGACAATGACTAGGAAGGGTAGAAAGAGAATTGATGCTTTTGAACTGTGGTGCTGGAGAAGAGTATTGAGTGTACCGTGGACTGCCAAGAAGACAAACAGATTCATCCTGGAGAGGGTTACACCTGGCTGCTCCTTGGAGGCAAGGATTCTGGGGCTTCATCTGACATACTTTGGACATGTTGTAAGGAGGGACCGGTCCTTGGAGAGGGACATCATGCTTGGGAGGGTGGAAGGACGACACAAGAGGGGAAGACCCTCTATGAGGTGGATTGATTCAGTGACTGGGCTAATTGGGATGGGTGTGTCAGAGACAGTGTGATTGGCACAGGATAGAGCAGGCTTTAGGGCTGTTGTACATAGGATTGCTATGAGTTGCAAGTGACTCGACGACACATAACAACAACAACGTATTTTTTTAAGATATGATTTAGAGAATATAATGCCTTCATGAGGTATAACATTAGGTATTTATTATATGTATAATATTCTGCAATATTCTAATTTCTGGATTAGACATGTTACGTTTTACAGATCCTTCAACAGTGGGAGGACATCTTTGTTATATCCACATTGTGACAGTTAAGAATAGAATTAGCTTTGATGTATAAGCTCCCCTGTATTTTTACATACACTACAACATTTTATGGAGGGTTCACTCACAGAAGGGGACAGGGTCCCTGAGCCCCAGGACATGGGAAGCTTGAGTAGTCCCCAACTTTGCAGCCTCACCTGGCTAGTTGCTGGATCCACTAGCCAGTGTCCAAAGAGCTGGTGTGAAATCCTTCCAACTGGGAACAGTACCTAGATAGAAAAAAGGGTCAACAAGTTTGTCCCCTTTCAATCTGTGGTGGTGAGTGGCTTGTCACTTAGAGTGAATCTCCCAGCCCCTTAATCCCTTTGTCTTGGTCTATAGTCACCTGGACAGTTTCTGATGCATTCCAGCCTCCCCTTAGGTCAGGCTGTTTAATGAGAAAGACCTAGGGCTCTTAGTTCTTTTGAGCCTCTGATCCTGGTCTCTGTTTATCCTGGGCATTTTGTAGTGTGTTTGATCCTCCATTAGGCCAGCCTGTTTATAAGGAGAGAGTGTTGGGTGCCCTCTTGGCAGTGGGTGCTGAACATGGGGTTCCCTGGTCATGAAAAGCTGCTGTTTTAACATTTCCCAGAGTGATATTCCATGGCTGCTGATTGTACCACTTTCCTGTGACACCTTGAGAACCCAGATGGGTGACTTATGAGTGGCTTTGCCTCCTGACAGTGGAGCTGGTATTAAGATAGAGTGAGTCCCAAGAGCAAGAATTCAAGGGCTCTGTTATCCCTTTGTAACTGTGGAGAAACTGAGGCTTCCCAAGCATTCAGGCGGTTAGCCCACATCCAGCCTCGGGCATGAGTGTTCTTGTCCTGATGCTGTTTTAGCATGTGGGAAATGTGTGTTCACCCTCTTTATGGGTCCAGTGTGCTGCAGGGCCTCCGTGCATGCTCTTGCTTTCTCTGATGAAGTCAGAGAACATCTCTTCAGTATTTTCTCTGGACAGAGAACCACTGCCAGGCCCTCTAGGGACTTTGAGAACAAACTGAACAGTCAAGGACGAATTGTATCCTGATAGATAAAAAAAGAGTGAGCACTGTGGGAGAGGGCCCTTGATAGGTGGAGCTTTCTGTGAAAAGATGAAATGA